CTACCCTCTTCTGCCTGGGTCAGCTAGCCCTCAACAATGTTCTTCCCATCTGGGAACTTCCTCAATGGTATGTAACAGGATCTCACTGTTAGGCGGGTGCTGGCTCAGTAACCTGAGCCACTTTCTTGCCTGGGACACAGTGAAGGGACTGGGTCCTCCACGGGAACAGCCCTAAAGACGAGGGCCAGCTTTCTGAGCACTGCTTTGGGTGGGGTTGGTTTGCTTGCAGCAATGTCTAGGTTGCAGCCCAACCAAAAGTCACAAAGGGCTGAAATCCTTCTAGAGTTCAGTCAGAGGTCCTGGGGCGGCTCTGAAATTAAGATGTGCCTCCCTGACAGAGTATCACTTGACCTTGGGAGGAGCCTGCCTAGGGCAGGAGGCACAGAACCAGGCGGGGGCGGGGGGTGGGGGGTGGGGCAGGGGGGGAGGGCCGCATTCCTAACCTGGTGGCTGGGCCTGCCTCTCCTGCTTCCTCCCAGGGACAACTGTGTCCACAGGCAGAATAACCAGAACAGGAAAATATGTCCATTTTGGCAAGAGACTTCCTGAGCTCACCACAGAGGCCAAACACAGTGCCTGGCACTGGGACCAAACCGTTTCTCTCACTTTCCAAAAGGTCCCCGTGTCTCCAGTTCTGACAAAGAGGAAAACAGTGGAAAGTCACCACTCGATGGAGCAAAGGTCACTCATTCCACGGAAAAGCACACGTCCCAGCCTGAGCTGTGAGGGGACACTCTGTGGAGGTGGCCCCTGGGCAGGGTGGAGAGCTCACTCCCCGGTCCTTCTGAGGAGCGCTGCATGGCTCTCAGACGCCACAGAGACACTTAGGCCTCCCGCTCCAGCCATTAGCTCCCTGCGACCCTCAGGGGCTCACAGTGGGCCACGGCTGGGCGCAAGCCAGCCAGACCGGCCATGGTGGGGACACCCAAAACCTTCCAGGACAGGAGTACGTGTCTGGCACCATGAAGGAGCCCAGAGAAGTTTTGGACTGTGACATGAGTCTGGGGACTCTAAACACACCCTCTCATGCGCTACAATAACCCCAAGAAGGAAGGGGTATTTTTCCAATTTTAAAGAGATTTAAAAATGAAGCTCAGAAAGGCCAAGTAGTTTGCTTGAGCTAACCGTGCTAGTAAGTGCGAAGAAGACATCCGAACTCAGCCAGCCTGTGTGTTGCCTTCCCCAAAGCTAACGGCTGCAAGCATTTCTGTTCCCGGCTAGGGACGAGACCCGTGGTCCTCCTCTTTGGGTTGGCTAGAGAAAGAATCTTCTGCAAAGTCTCTGAACTCCTCAGAGAGAAGAGCATTTCCCCCCTACGCAAGCACTTTCACTCAGGCCTTGGAGAGCCTAACAGGTGTGGCTTTGCTGCGCCTGGACTGTGCACTAAGTTGGCTCCTCATGAGAGCTGGGCCGCCCGCCAGGCACCAAAAGTCAAAGGCAGACAGTCAGGGCCAATGGGCACGAAGACTCCACTCTGGGTCTTTGAGCGCATCTGGAGAAAAGCTGTAGGCTGGACGTTAGAGAGTGGAAATAGCTCTGCAGGGCGAGAAGGGATGAACTATGACCCCCCTCAGAAATACAAACAGACCTCCATGGTAGAGGAGGCTGTGTCCCTTAGGACTTGGTTTGCACAATTGTGTGTTTAGTTAAATAGCTGATCCTTGGACAGTGCGGGGGCAGGGCACCAACACCCTGCACAGTTGAAAATCCATGTGTAACTTTTGACACTCCTGAAACTTCTAATGACCTGCCGCTGACCAGAAGCCTAACGCATAACAAACAGCCGATGAGCACTTATTTTGTGTTATATGTGTTATATGTTGTATTCTTATACTAAAGCAACCTAGAGAAAAGAAAATGTTATTAAGAAAATCTAAAGGTTCATCTGTGAGTTTTGTCAAATTGTCGCAAGTCTCCAAAAAGTTTTCCAATGTTTTTATTGAAAGAGATTCATGTATAAGTGGGCCTGCCCATTTCAAACCCATGTTGTTCAAGGGTCAGCTGTGTAACCAGAGGTAGGACCGCACCGTTCTATCCTGGCGACAGGGAGCTGTTCCTGGCGCCCACCACTCCTCCCTCCTCAGGGCAAGGGGTGACTGGATCCTTGGCAAACTTTGGTTCCCTCTTGGGGAAACTACTTAGGTGCCTTTTCCACCTTGGTCCCAAGTGCCGGGCCAAGGCCAGGAACACCCGCAGGCAGCCCACCCGCAGGAGGCCAGCAGGGCCGGGCCGGCCGTGACTCTGCGGCCTCAGTCTGGACCCTTGCTCTCTGTGCAAGGTTAGCCACCTGCGCCATGGGGCCTGGGCCAGCACTCTGTCTCAGCTGCCTGCAGTGGGCCTGGCGCACGCCACAGGGCCCACTGAGGCCCCCTCAAAACTAACCACTCCCCACCTAAGTAATTCCCTTCCTGAAGATCCTGTTGGACTTCTTAACCACAGAACCATCACATATTAGAGCTGCAGAGTCTCACAGATTGGACAGCCCAAGCTCCCATTGTATGGATGAGGCCCTGGGAGGGTGATATTACTGGCAGAGCTAGGACATGAGTTGGGTCCTCTTTCTATGCCAGTTCTCTTTCCACATCATTGTATTACCTCTCAACGGAATGAATCACTGACGGTGGAATCTAGCTCCGTCAGAGGTGGGCTTTGAGCATGAGATCCCAGAAGCCCAGCCAGTCACCACGTGCTCTGCCCGCCCCAGCCCGAGTACGTGTGGTCTGGGCTGTTTCTTCAGCAGCGGTGACTGGCTCACACTTAGCCCTTCTATACTTTGTAAGCCAGGCTATGTTCCATGTCTTTGGGTGTTGAAGAAATGAAGTGTGGGTAGCTCCTGCCTCCCCGTGTCTGGGCCTGGCCAGGGTGCTGGGAGGGAAGAGTGAGGTGTCAGGTGAACAGCCACTAGTCCTGGGCATGTGGATGGGTGGGGCACTGGGCACTGGTCACAGCGGGGCTCCCTATGAGCTATGGTTGGTGCTGGGTTTAGATGCCAGACACGGATCAGGACACTACGGAAGGACAGTGGGGGAGGCACTCCACTTCCTCCAGTGGCCAGATGCCCTTTCTCTAAAAGTCCCTCTGCCCAAGGACAGTCACTTTGCTTAAGTGACATTCACTGCCTAAGTCTCTCCAACCAGCATGCTTAAGGCACAGTCGAGACCCAGGTGGGGTCCTGCAGACGGGCTGGACTGGAGCAGGCGGCTTTGAGGTTCCCCCTACTGCCTTGCTGAGCAGTTACTTTTCCACGGGCGACTTTCCCGTCCCAGAACTATGCGGGAGGCAGTGGAAAGTTAGGAGTCCTCTCACTCTCAGGCTGGGCGAGGAAGGAGAAAGGATGAGCAATGACCTCCTTCACTTTCCCGAGGAAATCCCAGTTCGCCCTTTCTCACCCGCTTCCTGCAGGTCACTCACGTCGGGGAGCACTGCTGGCAGCTTGGCCCATGCCAGCCTACACACACAAGAAGCTCTGCCACGCTGGGCACACTCCTGCCACAGGGCCTTTGTGCTTATTCTTCCCTCCACCTGGGGCACTGTCATCCCGGTTAGCGGCTTGCCACTTCCTTCCTCTTCAGGATTATTGAAATGTCACCCCTCAGTGAGGTCTTCTCCTTTTCCCTGAGATTCATTCCCCTCCCCTCTTCAATGCTCATTGTCCTTCGTAGCACACATCTTCTAACATTCTTCACATTTTATGAATTTATTTTGTTTATTTTCTCTTTCCCCCACATAACTGCAGACCCATGCCTAGGGCAGAGAGCAGTCTTTAAGCATCGCCCTCACTTCCTCCGGGAAGCAGGAGGAAGCTATCCCATGGCCCTCCTAGGAGTAGAAATTTGGGAAAGAAACAGTTTGCTGATCACCCTGGAGCTTTTTGCGAAGGCAGGCCCCCTGGGGCCAGTGCAAGTTCCCTACAACATCCCCCAAGCCCACAGTCCCTGAAGGAAGTAACCAGGACACCAGAAGATAATGGCACTTTCTGGAGCAGCGCCAGCAGGGTTTCCAAAAATGTTTATTTTAAACCACACTGAATTCCGAGGAGGCTGCAGTGGCTCAGAATCAGGCATAAATCCCCACGTCCTCTGCAATTTCCCATAACAGCTCACAAATTTGGGCAAAGGCGCCACCCTGGGAGCTGAGATGCCAAATGCCTAGGTTCCCTTACTTCCCACCCTACTCCAGAGCCACCAGGGCCGAGCTGGGTGTCAGGGAAGGGAGACGACGTCTGTCCATCCAGGCGCCGGGGTAGGTAGAGGTTTTGGGGAGTCTGAAGTTTATACTCTGGTGCGGAATGGAGGGGAGTGGAAGAGGGGGCACAGCCTGAAGAAAACTTAGTCAAAATTGGGTCTACAGCATTGCTAGAGCCCCCAGCTTCCACCCCCAGGGCTGCTTCAGAAAGGGCCGCGGCACAGGAGGGGCCAGAAGCCAAGTTCCACAGCCTCCAGGTGAGCGCGCCCTGCCAGGGCTGGCTTGCACTCCCGAGCGGAGAGAAGAGAGCGAGAGGCAGGCGGGGGAATCCCCAGCAGGGGCAGCGGTGGAGAGAGCGCACGGCAACTGACGACCTGAGAAGGGCGGTAAGATTCCGGGGCAAGCGCGTGCACGTCGCCGCGGGGTCTAGACGCAACCGTGGAATCACGACTCTCCTGGACAGCCGGACAAGGGACCACGTCCAGCGGGTTGGGCCCGCGGAAGTCACTGCCCTGCCTCGGAGCCAGGGGGGCGCCCGCGCGCCAGCCGTGGGCAAGCGAGGTCCCAGAGCCTGGGATGAGGCTGCGGGTAGGGAGGGCAGGCGGCGCACGACACCGGTGGGGCCAGTCGGCTTGTCATGTTGGAGCCCCAGCCTGCCGGACGGTGCGGCCCCACAGAGTCCCCAGCCCGCGGCCACCAGGCCCGGTCATTCCTGTGCACAGCCCCGCCCGCGGATCCCGCCCCGCCTGAGCTCCCTGGAAGCGTTCCCTGGCCGCTGGGCCCCCGAAGCTGCGCCCCCGCGCCCCGGGGCTTACCGTTGGTCGTTCGTTCCCCGACTCCTAGGCTGCTGAGGGGACCTGCACACTGTCCCTCCGACTCCTGGTTCCCCGACTTCCGTGGCTGGTCTCCGGAGCCCGGCGCTGACCCCGCCCAGCCTCATCCCCCTCCAGGGGGCGGTCCTAGCCGGGCCCAGGGCTGCAGGGACTTCCCGGGCTCTGTGGTCACCTGAGGGACCCCGGACAGTGTGCTCCGGGGCAGGGCTGCGCAAAGCGCCGGCATGGACCGGCGCCTGGGAGCTCTTCCAGTGATTTGATGCCATGACTTACATTCTCAGCGTCTGCAATGGTGATGGTCGCATCCCCGCAATTCTGAATATACGAAAGACCTGCTGAACTGCACACTTTAAAAGGGGGAGTTTGATAGTATGTGAATTATCTCGATAAGGCTGTTGGTATGTAAAATAATGGCGGTGAGATTGTAGCCTCACTTCTTAGAATATGAAATCTAAGACACTGCATGACATTTCAGACTACAATCTGCTCATATGCAGCTGATACGTAAGTTACAGTTTAACTCAGCAGGGCAAAAGTTAGACAAATGCTCTCACTTCTGGTCAAAAGCCGTTGGTGTAGAGCAAAAGAATGGATATAATGTGCTCTCTAGGGCAAGTTATATTTTAAAAATCAGAACAAAAGCTGTTCCTCTGTACAAACTTCTGGAGAGTTTTCAGGAACATCAGGTAGAATGAAAAACAATGTGCAATGGGGAAAATTTTGGATTAAAAACTAGATTGCTTCCGGATTCCCTGGGAAGAAAACGACATTCTTTATGCCAAAAATGAACAATACAAATCAATCCTGGGGAAACATCAGACAAACCCTGCATTAAATAACATTCTGAAAAATAACTGTCCTGTACTCTTCAAAAATGTCAAGGTGAAAGAATGTCCCAGTCAGGAAAGGCAAGACATGAATCATGAAAATGAATTGCAACCCTCTTCTGTAGGCTAACGCTGGACCAGGCAGTTTCTACGGAGAATGTTATTGGGACTGTTAGAGACATTTGAAGAAGGTCTGAAGATTAAACAATAGTATTGTATTAATGCTTAATATCTTGGTTTTGAGAATTGACAGTTTTCTATGTGAATATCCTTGATCTTAAAAAATCCACCTTGACGTATTTAGTATAAAATTCTCTCTCTCTCTCTGCTCCCTACCTCAAACTTTCCCTTCATTTGTATTCGCCACAGGGCTCCTCCGGGGCATTCTCTGCTCTTTGGATGCTTCCCAGTTCATTGCCAGTGGAAAGATCATTGATTGCAGCAGACCCTGTATGTGTTTTGTTATAGTTACCTTCTCAAAAGGGTGTACACCCATTACTCACTACAAAGGTATTATCTGTTTCAAGATGAACAGATTTCAAATCCACTCCAAATTAAAGGAGGGGCTACCCAATGGTTGACTTACAAAATGTCCTAAAGAGAGAACGTTTTTGTAAGAATACCCATTGCATAGAATTGTTTCATATCTCTCTTCTCATCATTTTTTTAAGCAGGTGTATTTAACAATCATCAATTAACATATGGTGCTCCCAATGAACCAATAAAACATAAGCAGAACCTCCAGTTTCCAGAAACTTGCACATCCATGTACAATGGACAAGGCAATTTACAAAGATGTATCTTATGTGCTGAGTCACTACAGCTAAAAAGAATGTAAGATTTTATGTAGACTTCATATTTGATAAAAAGATGTGTTAAAAGAGACAGCAGGCCCAAAATGGAGTCACTTGTGCTAGGCCCCTCTTCAGCAAACCAGATGCAATTTAGCTAAACTCATTGCTGTTTCAGCCTCTCCCAGAAATGTAACTGTTAACCAGTCACTCTGGAATTACCTGGTCGGCACTAGTGAGGTCATCTTCCTGACAGCCCCCTGCCTTCCCTCAGAGGAAGGTGCCCTTGCCTGAAGCAATCTTTTGCTATTAACTCCTTGCCCCGTCCCTCTGTGTTTAACTGATTGCGTTTTGTACAGCTCTTTGGAGCCCCTCTCTTATCTGCTAGGTAGGATGCTGCCCTGCTCATGAGTCACTGAATAAAGCCAAGAAGATATCTAAAATTTACTCAGTTGCATTTTAACAGACATAAATGATGAGGAAAGATGTCAGATGTTGGATTTTTAAGCACTTTTCCTATGTTCACAGAAAGGACTCATTGATCCGGAAAATTCTTTTAAATGACTTCACATTGCCTGCCAAAACCACTTTATCCCAGATTTCTATAGGTCTCTGACTATCCTGTATTCTCATAACTTTAAGGGTAACAGTGAACAACACAATCTTGTGAAGATCAAGATCAATAGAATAATTTCCATATATAAGCTAGTCTGTAAAAACAAAGTTCAAAAGTAAAGGCCCTCTTGGGCCCTGTGTGGGCCTGCATGGGACACAGTATTGTGACATACTTAAGTATGAGAATCACTTTGTGCCTGTTTTGCAGGGGATGGGAGGACTGTCATTTAAATTCTGTATTATGATCAGTCAATTGTTTGAAGCATCCAGGGGCTCTACAAGGGTTTGAAGCCAATACAAGTTTCTTCTCCCCACCCCCCACCCCTCATTTTCTTAAAGGGCAAAAACCAGCTTTAGCCCTTTCAGCCAGTTCTTTTTATATTGGTATATTTATATTTGTTTAAATTTTTTAAAACCTCATCTTAGCACTATCTGTTGAGGACCTTAACGGATAGGGAAATTAGCTCTTTCTTCAACTGACCTTACTATCTGGACTTACAGTCCTCCTCTGTATTCCCCAAATAAGTGTAGTTCTATCACTGTTCAGTGTTTTCATTATTATGAAGGCAATTCGGGGCTGACCTATAGTAACCATGATTTTCTTTTCCCTTATGTTGTTTTCCATAGAATTAATATTTATAAAATTTGCCTAGTTATTTATGTACCAGTCACTACTTCAACACTAATCTATCAGTTACCTAAATCCCTTCATAATAAATTACTACAGATTTTCTTTAAATTTTTTGTATTATTTATTGATTTTAGAGAAAGGCAAGCATTGATTTGTTGGTCCACTTATTTATGTGTTTATTGGTTGATTCTTCTATGTGCCCTGACAGGGGGTCAAACCTGCAACCTTGGCGTATCAGGGTGACACGCTAACCAACTGAGCTACCCAGCCAGGGCACATCCAGTTTTCTTCAATTTTATTTTCTTAAAGTGCCTAAGGAGCCTTCTGACCTGCCTTCAGTCTGGTCTAGTTGCTCCATCCCTGGTGCACAGCCGTCACCTAAGGTCCCCCTTCGCTGCAGTCCTCCAGAATCCCCCCTGCTGACTCCTGTGTGAAGTGTCCACTTCCTTTACCGCCCCCGCCCCCCGCCCCCGCCAGCCCCATCTTTTTCTTCCTTGGGTCACTCCCTCGTTTTAGAGGAACACATCCTTCAGTGGATTAAAAAAAACAAACAAACCATTTTCTGTATTTTTAGAGAGAGAAGGGAGGAGGAAGAAGAGGGAAAGAAATAGCGATCTATTGCCTCTCGTGCACATCCAGACTGCGGACTGAACCCTAAACCCAGGCATGTGCCCTGGGAATCGAACGGGCAACCTTTCCTTTGTGGAACGACGCCCAACCAGCTGAGCCACTTGGGCCAGGGCTTGAGTGGCTTCTTAAAAAATGGTATGTGGGCAGTAAAATCTCAACTAGATAACTGTTCCCAGGGATTCCATGCTCATATATTCCTGCCTTTTGCTATATGACTTCTGGTGCCTTCCTGCGGATGCGTTTAGTTCCCACGTCACTGACATCAGGCTTGGACATGTCACTTGCTTTGATCTATAGAATATGATGTAGCGTCTGAGCAGAAGCTTCACTCGTGGTTGGGAGGTTCTGCTCTTTCGTCCTGGGCCCTGGACTGAAACACTGGAGCAGGACCAGGCCTGCGCAGCCACAGCGACCTGTAATTGGAGTGGGAAAAAAGTACACCTGCCCCACCCTCTGCAAAGTACTTAGATTGGTACTTTAGTAAAATGTAATCTCAGTGTGCCTGGAAATGTCTTTATTCAGCGCTTCCCATGGATTAATAGTTTTGGCTGAATATAAAATTAAAAAAATTCCAGGGTGGAATTTTGCAGGCATTGCTCCATGGTACTTGTTTTTCCAGTGTTGCTACTGGAAAGTCCAAGGCCATTCTGATGCCTGAGCCTCTTAAGGAACCTCCCCTCAACTCCCACCTCTGGGAACGTATGGGATCTTTTTGTTTATCCCAGCTTTCTGAGGTCCTGAGACCACTGGTCTTGACATTTGGTATACCTTCATTTTGTGCAAGGCGCTAGGAGGGCCCTTTCCATCTAGAAATTCACATCCTTTAATTTTGCAACACTTTCTTAATATTGATTTCTTCCACTCCATTTTCTTCTTTCTGGAATTCCTACTTTCCAAATCTTGAACTGATTTTCCTATCCTTCCTCTTTTTTCTGCTTCTTTTTGTATCTATTTTTCTGAGGTATCTCTGCAATTTGCCCCCACACTGTCCACTTCAGCAATCCCGTTCTCAGTTTCCAAGAGCTTTTTCTGTTGTTTTGATCTCGGTTTCAGTCTTCAAGTAGAGCCCGATACGTCGTCTTCCATGTAAGTAGCTTACCTGGGAAGCTGTCCTGGGCAGAGGAGGGGCTGCAGAGGTGGAAAGGTAGAGGAGGAGAGAATACAAGGTTTCCAGACTGGCTCCTGCTCTGGGCCACCGGGGCTTGATTCTGTGGAACCTTGAGCAGCTTTGGGAAATGACATGTCCACCCAGGGGACTAAAAGTGGGAGCGTTAGCTCCTCTTCCTGAATGGTCAAGACTGATGTCAGACTAAGATTGTAAAGACATGGACTAAGAGAATAAGAGGCTTTTTCAAGGTCTGAAATTTCTGCATGACAAAAGGTGTTTGTTGGAGACAGAATAAGACACGGCACCAACTCAAGCCCCCCAGGAAGCACGTGCCAAGGTGGAGCAAGTGTGGAGGTTTACTGTGGTAGAAATGCCTGGGAACGGAGCGAGGTTGGGGAGGAAGAGCCTCAAACTGCAGCGCACGTCTAAGTCTCGGCCAGGCCCCATGGGGCAGCTGGCCCCCGCCAGTGCCCCTTCCTGCCTGGGAACAGCCTGGGGTCTGTCACACAGGTGTGGTGCCTGGGGGCTGTCAGCTAACTGCCATCTTTGCAGCAAGTTATTTTTCCTTTTTCGAAACACCTCATTGAGCTGTAGTTGGCATGCAGTGAACGTAGGTAGTAGTTTTCTAAGTTTGGGCATAGGTTTCCACGTGGGACTGTCACCACCAAGGCAGTGAATAGATCCACCCCCCTCCTTTCCCCAGGCCCCACTGTAATCCTTCCTCCCCCAGGGAAACAGTCATCTGCAGTCACTATTGGCAAGTTTGCGTATTTTATATAAATCAAATCATGCAGTATGTGCTTGTCTGGCTTCTTCCACTCAGCGTAATTGCGATTAGTCCACCTTGTCATGTGTTATCCGCAGTTCATTCCTGTCACTGGTGAGTAGTATGGCTATGTATGGAGATCCACATTTATCCAAAAGCCTCTTTATGGACCTTTGGTTGCTTCTGGTTTTTGACTACTCACCAAGAAAGGTATTACAAACCTGTATGTATGAGTCTTTGTATGGATGGTAAGCTATATGCAAAACCTTTAAAGATGCGATCAGTTTTCTAAAGTGGTTGTACTGATTTCCATTCCCACCAGCAGCCTATGAGAGTTCCGGTCGCTCCATGTCCTTGTCAGCACTTGGGATGGTCAATCTTTCATTTTAGCTATTTTAATGTTTAGTGGTATCCTGTGATTTTAATTTGCGCTCTTAACAACGGATTTGTTAAACATCTTTTAATGTGCTTATTTGCTATCTGTACATGTTCAGTGAAACATCTGTTCAAATTTTTGTTGGTTTTTTTGGGAGAGGGGTTGTTTTCTTACTGAGTTTTCAGAGTTCTTTATATGTTATGGTACAAGTTGTCAGTCTATGACTAGGAGATTTTGTATTTTTAAGACAAAAACTTTACAGGCTAGGCGCCCTGAAAGGGGGAACATGTAGCCTAACAGCAATGTTTAATGTGCTCTGATCCAAGGAGAGCGGATCTTTAGGAGAATAACAAAATGAAACTATTTGAACTAACTGTACCTAGAATCTCAGTTACTACTGACTTCATGTGGATCACCTTAGACTATAAGGTGTGCCCAACCTTTTGGTGTCACTGGGCCACAATGGAAGAAGAAGAGTTATCTTGGGCCACACATTAAACACAAAAAACTGATGAGCGGGGTGGGGGGAGATTTTAAGGAAATTTACAATTTTGCCTTGGGCCACATTCATAGCCATCCTGGGCCACATGCAGCCCATAGGCTGGATGCTCCTGCTAGTCAGCAGCATTTGATCAAATATATCACAAAACAGCTCGCTAAAAATTAATCCATAAAAGTGTGATTAGAGTCCAGAAATACTTCCTGCTTTAAAAAACATGTATACACCACTGCGATTTTCACAATATGATATGATTTCATATTATGATTTGGGGTTTTAGTATATGGTCTTTAAGATTCAATACTTTTACCACTTACCACCAACTAGTTCTCTCAATAATTTTATTTTTTACAGACACAAATAAACATAAGGTTTCGATTTAAGGATTTCAGTCTTCTCCCCTCCCACCATAAACACACATACACAAGAACACTCTGGGAGGGCGATCTTGTTGTATTTCCCAACTGAAAAAAAAAAAGGCATTTAATAATAGACAAAGCTTGGCAGAAAAGGCAGACACTACCAATAAATAATCGTTCAATTAAAATTATGAGAAAACGTAAAAGCTAGCTATTTATACCCTTTCCCCTGAGAAACAATAATCGTAACAACAGTTAATAATAGCAGCTACCATTTATTGAGCTTACTATGTTCTAGGCACTGTGCTAAAGGCTTAACATGGATTACACCATTTAATCCTAAAAATGTCCTAATGAGTACTACTCTTCACCCCATTTCTAGATGGAAATGGAGGCTCATAGAAGTACCCCGTCTCAGACCGCAGAGGTAGAAAGTAAGTGGAGGCAGAATCGCACCCCGGGCAGCCTGCCTTGGCACCTCTGTCCTCAGCTACAAAGGACCCAAAGAACCCAAAAGCTAGTTCCTCCCTTCCTGGTTACCTTTATAGTGTTAAAAAGGGGAAGATGTAAATGAGAAAGAAAAAGGCCAAATACCCCCTAGTGATCCCACTAACTGTGAGGGAGGGGGAACCCACAAATTCAAAAGACCCCTATACTACTTGACTACTTTCCTTCATCAAGAAGAGAAGCTTCCCATCGACATACAGCTCAGAGAAACGTACCAAGAAACAAAACAAACAAAATTCACTTAACGGTGTCATGAGGCTCACTTTCCACTCTATGAATACAGTATATCCTAGTCAGGAAATCAGTAATTCTTGTGAAGTTAAAAACCTCAAGAGAAACAATATATGTTCACCTAATATTTTATTTGCTGACCTCTCTGAAACATGTCAAAAATTCATATGGCTAATGGAACTTTCTATATTAAAATGTTGCTCGACACAAAAAAACCCTAACAAAAATATTTTAATGTAGGAATCAACATGTGAACAGTACATTTCGGTGGTGAAATTCAGGTTACAAATATAAGATAAATATCAAATAATATACTTCTAGTTTAATGGAAAACATAACAGTTGTGAAGTCATGCTTAACACCTTGGTTCAGTAGCGAGAGAAATGGGCAGGGGTGCTGAAGAGGTATGCAAAGATTTAACAGTTCCTATAATCTTTAGCCCTTTGGACAAACCATACAGGAAATACGTGATGAACGTTCTGTAATGTGGCGCCTTCGGTCCATCAGTGATCACTGTGTTCATGTGTTCTGCGCACTGAAAACAAAATTCAAAGTCTGCTCAACAAGCTAAGACTATGAATTCCTTATATTCAAAACTATAGTTTAAATGTGGAAAGTTCAAAATAAAGCATGTTTGTTTTCATAATTCCTTTCACTACTGTATATAACAGGTACATTGCTGTGCGAAGTTAATTCTAGTTACCACATTTTATATCTGTTGGTCATCAACTGCACATATTTTATGCCCCAAAAAGAACCTATTAATCCAGCAAAATGGTTACATTTAATTTCTTTTAAAGATGAAGAAACTAAATTTAAGGAAGGATAGGTTTTTCTTGATATTTCATTTTCAAATTATTGATACAAACTTACTAAAAGAATATTTTGCTCAGCATCAAATAATCTGCAGGGAATTTCTAAGAGAGCCACCTTTCTTGTTCAATTTCCAAAAACAAAGGCTTTCTAACTAAAAGCATTTACATTCCTGGCTCTCTAAAGAAAACATTAAAAAACAAAGAACAAAAATGATCTTTCAGCTTCTGAATAGCCCACTAAATTACATAAAGTATTTTCTGTCCCAACACTTCCTCGAATTCAAGATATTTACTTCCTAAGAACAGGGCAAACAGTCTTCATTTCAAACCATTCAGTCTGTTTCCATGGCAACACTGCGGGATTCCTTGGCTACCATGAGTCGCATCAGTTGACTGTGGAATTTCTCAATCTTCTTTACATCTTGAGCTTGGTCTGTTCTATACACCAAGCACTGTCAGAAAGTTTAAAGGTACACATTAGCTATATACCGGTAGATTATCAACAATACCAACTGTATGACTGCGTAAAAATTTGACCACTGTTTTGCTCTGGAGGTCACACTAAGAAAATTATGTTCAAGTTTCTAAGCCTCCAGCAATTACATTCCATAAATTTGACACTGCTGTGGATTAAAAAAAAACTCAGTGAACGCCATCAGAAGCTTATTAAAAAATAACCAGTTACGGAATATGTTAAATCCTGCTGCGGTCTGATGAGAAAACTCAAGTCTTAAGCTTTTAAGTCATAGAGGAAAAAACCAGAGATTACTGGGGATGTGGGGGTGTAAGAGCAATGAGGAGCCTTTGCAGGGTTTTTAAGGGGCAGTAACAATCAAACTCGCACTTTTAGAAACCAGTCCAGCAGCTAAAAGATGGGTGAAGGGTGAGCTGGAAGCAGGGACAGAGTCAAGAGACTATTCTAATTGTCCAGGCAAGTGACGAAGACATCCCAAACTTGAGAGTAACAGTGAAGATGGAATATATCTGTTTGTGACAGGTACTGAATGAGGGAGCTTGAATCATAATCCCCAAACGCCTCAAAAAGTATACAGAATGTGTCACAGGATCAAATACAAGTTTTTCAAATGAAGGAATAACAGACGTGAGAATGAGGGAAAGGAAGGGATCACACGTGATCTGCAAACATTGAAGCGCAACTAAAACTAGAGTACAGGAAAGGGAACCAGTTTGAGAAGAGGGGATGAGTTCCATTCTAGACAAGCTAATTTTGAGGAGTAGTGTGAGGTTAGGATACTCAACTTGGAGCTAGTCAGGACGGCAGGAAAAAAACGAGCTAACTGTACAAATTTGGTAATAGATATAATATAAGCAGTACTGAACTTAAAGACTGAACAGATTACTCCAAAGAAGTGGCATGAAAGACAACCAAGGACAGAATCCTAGAGACGCCACTATTTCCGGAGGCATATCAGTGACGTAATTAGCCAAGAATGAAAAAGAAATATAGATAAAGAAAGCAAGATAAAATGGAGCCAAAGATTCCAAAGTGACGTTTTCCATGAGTGGTTTCCTGTATCAGAGGCAGCGAGGGAGCCAAGTAAGGCAAGGACCAGGGAGACTGCCGGGTGCCGAAATCAAGGAGCCACCGCTGAGCTCCCAGCGAGTGCAGTGCATCCCCTGCTACACGCAGACAGCGGAAGGCAGAGGCTTGGGAGTGCCCAGGATGTGAGGAAGTGACACGAGTGAGCAGACGGGGAGGAGAGGGATATGGCCACAAAGCGTACATTGTGTGTTCAAAAACGATCATTCACACCTCACATGCCTATAAGGAAACGTTTGTCCCCTTACATTGTTTTGGCCTCTACATTCTTCTTAAGGTTGGAAGAGAACAACTATTAAACTACACCTGAAATACTGTTTTAATGAAACAAGTTAAATTATTTCCCCATGAGCCTATAAAAGTAGCTTCTAGAATGTGGCTCCTGTCTTTGGAATGAAATGCAAAATAGTCCTAACAGGTAATCTGCATAAATTCTATATAAATAATTTCAAACAAATGATTAACTCAAATCTGAAAGTATGCAATGAATAAAAAAGTATACTTACAACTAAATCATCTGTTACTTTAATACACAAACTTCCATCAGAATGCCTATATTTGAGAACCACACGTGCCTGAAACAAAAATACATGTTTAGAAACAGTGAAGTCAGAAGATATTTCTCATAAATAATTCAGTCTTCAGGTTGGCTAAAATGATCCTTTTAGAATTAATAGCCAAAGTGTCCAGTCACCTTTACAGTAAACTTATCACTACTGAAATGAGGCAGAATATAGCATTTTAGTCCATTCCTATAATTTTTTTTTTAAGACATAAGTGGTTTGGCATTTCTAGCCAGTAAAACCATATATTGAAGTGATCAAAGCTTGCCACCTCAAAATAAGCCACTTTGGCAAAATGACCGTTTTGAGCTGGTGGCAGTTAGGACTCCGCCCTTTCTGGCTAACAGCAGGACATATATTAGCCTCTGTAAAGGCTATTAAATGCACCCCGCCCCGCCCCCCGTCTCTGACCCAGAAGGGTACTTATCTGCATAAGAAACTGTACTAGACAATCATTATTTACCATACATTTCCGAGTTACCTTCCCACAAGTTACACTGCCTCCCAGGAGCCCCAAGCTCCCTCTCCGTTTTTCCAGCCTCTGTTCCACACTTTTTCACCCTTTGCTAAGATGGTATATAGGCTCCAAATTCTAACTGCCTCCTTATACTTCTTTATGAACGCCAGTTCATGTGTAATAGTTTTCCCCCTTGTTAATCTTTTGTCAAGTTAATTTGCAGAACCCCAGCAATTAAATCTAAGAGAATAAAGGAGAAGTTTTCCTCTCTTACAATTCCAACCCTTTTAGCCACAGAGGAAAGACAGGAAAAAGAGGAGAAGCAGCCGAGAGGGCCGGCAAGTCCAGATCCATTCCTCAGGAAACCCCAGTGCCCACCTTCCCTTCCCCCGGCTCTCAGGACGTGGACAGAGGCTCAAGTGTTCAGCAAAATCATGACACTTTTATCATGATGGCTCAGCATGATGCGCTATCACATAAAAGCAGAATTCTGCCTTGAAAAGGTGTCTTCAACAATTTTCTCAAATCTAAAATAACTCCTATACTGAGTACGATGCTACACAATACTTTTTGTTAACAATTTTCAGTTCTCCAGAAAAAAGAAACTGAAACTTTAAAATATACTAAGCATGACAACTATGTAAAGTTTTAACTCTTAGTTAAAAGAATACCCACCATCTTCATTAGGAGAAATGAGAGTTAAAGGGTCAATAGAATTATTACAAGAGGGTCAACTTTGTTTCTTGGGGGCACCTAATTTACATGTCAGATGCCTTGAAGAGAGAAAAGTAAATCAAGATTCTTGCTCTCTCAGAAACTTTGAATTCCACCAACCAAAAATAACCAAGAAGAGCATAAATTAAGTCCTTTAAGGCACATACAGGTAAAATGCTGAGAGAAAACAAGTAATGTAGATTGGGGAAAGAGGAAGTGTGAGAAAGTTTTGAGGAGGCAGCTTTGCAGTCTTTTTTCTTTTAGGGAAGAAGGTAGGATAAAGGCTGGGAAGCAGTCTGAGCGAGGATTCGGTGAATGGTGCAGCTTCATGAGGCCAGAGCTGAGGATGGGGAATGTGGGAGCCAGAGCCAGAGCGGCTGACGAGCGGGCCAGACGGTGGGCGAGGAGCCTGTGCTGGGGCAGCCATCGCTGAAGAACCACTCTGTGAGCAGTTCTCAGTTTGTGTTTCAGACGGTTGTGGTGTGGGAGCGAAGGAGGGATTCGAAAGGCAGAGAGACCAACCACGGGGTCATCACACGATCCAGCAGCAACACCGCTGGCAGTTAGAGCAACGTCAGAGGGGACGCAGGCGCGGTGTGTGTCATCAGCGGGTTCGGTGTGGTCGGGGGAGGAGAGAGAGGGTTTTGTAAAACAGACTCAAGGGTTCTGATGAAACTTATTTACCTCTTTAGTTCTGGCAGGTAGAAACAGTATGGACTTGGGGTTTAGAGTCCTGATTTCAAATTTTAACTTAAACTATACATGTCATTCAATGTATCTAAGATTGTTCATTCAACTGCCTCAAGGGGTCGCCTTAATTATACACATAAATTAGACATCTAAATACATGTAAAATGTCTGTCACATTGAAGACACTCAATAAAACTGTTAGTCAAGCTCCCTCTCCCCACTCATCCCCTCACTGCCCTATAGAAATGTTATCAAAAACCAGTCGAAGGCTATCATGGAAATGCCGGAGTTTTTAGGCCACTGGCATTTTCTGATTGGGTAAAGAGCTGGAAAATTCTCTCCTGCTTATTCTAGACAAGCTTTGTTCACAGCAATGCCCTGTAATTACCATTTTATTTTCATTTTCCCTGCCCCCCCCACCACTATTTGAATGATTACTCTTGATGTGAACTTGTATATTCTTTACTTTCTTTTAAAATAGCCTCAGTTTATACAAAACCCCCGTATTGTTCTCATGGTACATTGCTTAAATAAACAAAGGGCCTTACGAACAAGAGAAGTCATCCAGAGGAGCCAGAAATTGTGTCATAACCAAAGTATTCAACTTAAAAAAATATCTAATTCATTTCATCATTTATTGTTACATTTTACTGTAAATAATGGAACAATATTCCACAGCTTCTTGTTACCTATCAAGATTTTAAAAAGCTAGCAAGATTTTTAATTAAGAAGGATAACGAGGAGGCGGTGTTTCAAGCAATTTTTAGATATGACAATAAAATAAATCTTAGTTTAAATAATGATCTAACCTCTGGCGTCCACTTATATAATAATTTCTGTGGGGACCTTCAATGAATTCACAAGCCCCCTAACATTGTTTTTAAACTTTAAGTTCATTTTGCTGGGGGAAAGGGTGCAAGCATTCTCTGATTCTCAAACGGGCACTGACCTCTAAAAGATTAAGAACCACTACTCTAAGGAGGGTAGATGCTTCCCAATTGAGGTTTTTCAAGACTGTCTCGGTGAGGGCAAAGGAAAATTACCGTTTTGTTCTCCACGAGGAACCCTAAGGCTCTGGCGGTACCGGAAAAGGGCAGCAAGACAAGGCCAAGAAGGCGAAGCTGCGGGTGGGGGAGGCGCCCTGCCCCGAGAGACACGTAAACCATCTTAATTCCTAAAGGAGACTCAGTGTTGGGGACCGGAGAGACCGACGGTTGAGCTGCTTAGGGCCCTGGAACGACCCTGCTTTTGCCCATTTGAAGGCCTCATCGGGCCGCTAATCAGAGAGGAGACAGTAGGAACAATCTGACTTGGAGGGGTCCGTCTCCGGTCAATCCCAGCACATCCAGGGCGCTGAAGAAGCTCCGGCAGCCGAGCCGGCGGCAGTGAAGACACCTTGCCCTGGGCTGGGTATAGCGGTGCCGGCCCCGCCAGCGGTTTACCTTCATAGGGTCGGCGAGGTACAGTTTCTCGGCCGCGCGACTGAACTCCTCCCAGGTCTGGAACTGCGGCATGGTGGGCCCTCCGCGGAACGGGAGATGGAGGCAAAGCTGGGACCCGAGGCAGCGTGACCCGGCCCCCTACCTACTACTTCCCACCGCCACAGACCTCGACCGGGGCCCAGCCGACCAAACCTGGTGGCGCCTCCGTGCAGCCACGTCTCACTTTATTGGATGGCTGGGAAGGCCCTTGGCCAATGAAAAGTAGGGATGTTGTGATGAATGGGGCGGAGCCCTGAGCAGGGGGCTCTGGGAGCTGGCCCAGAGAAGTCGAGAGCAGAGCGACTGCTGGCCTCTCCCACAGCGCTCCCTAGAGGAGTGGAGGAGCCTCTGTCCCGCCACCCTGTGGGCGGGACTTCAATGGCAAAGTCAGATTGAGCTGAAGAAGAAGGGTAAGGACAGTCCTGGTCGAGTGCCTCTTCTTACAGATAATAGTTACTACTTATGGAGTGTTACTATGTGCCAGATGCTATTTTAAAGTCTTCACACATAATAATTCATTTAATGCTTATGAACGTTTTGTGAAGTAGGTTCTACTATTACTCCCATTTTATGGCTGAAGAAACTGAGCCCCCTGAAATGAAATAGCTTACCCAGTTCTGTAGCTTAATAGGTCTAAAGCCTAAATCTCTTATTTCTTAGTCTAATACTCTTTTCACTAAGACACTGCCACTTGAGCCCTTACTTGAAGCAAAAGTTGCTACATTACTTTGTCTTTTCTTCCCATTGTTAATTTGCTAAATCAAACTCTTGATAAAGCGTGGCACATTCCCCCGACTGGGGAGAAACACTCGCGAGTGCTCGCATTCAGCCCACCCGCGCCTGGGCGGTTTGGGAAGGCTCTGTTCACGGGTCTCATCATTGCACTCAGGGCTCTGGGATCCTGACGTTTAGCCAAGTGCCTGCCTTCCTGTGCATGTATTGGGTTGGTTAAAAAGTCTGTATGGTTTTTCCTGTAAAATTAAAGACACAGTTTTCATTTTCACCAATAACTTTATTGATTTGGATATTTTGAGTACGTTGGCTATCTCCCTCGTGGTAGAACACTGATCGTTCTCGATTAACGTCACAATTTGATCGCTGTCAACTTCAGCTGGTCTACCTGACCATGGAGCATCGTCCAGAGAGAAACTTCCAGCACGAAACTTCGCAAACCACTCCGACACGTTCAGTCAGTCACAGCCTTCTCCATACACTGCACAAATCTCTTTTTGTGTGTTTCAGTTGTGTTTTTACACTTCTTGAAATAATAAAGCATAACATACCAAAAATGTTGTGTATTTTTGTCTTCAATATTAAAATGGCTACACAAAATTTCACCAATTTTGATGTTTTTAAAAAAATGCCCATTGATATGACAGCTGCCACAGTACAATCTAACAAAATTGTTTCCGATGAAGTTAAAGACAACTAAGTGCTACTAGAGCCACCTTAGGGCAAAAAACAGAGGAACTTTTTGGCCAACCCCATATATCAAGTCAGTGGAGCACAAGAGAATGATCACTTTTGGGTTTGGAGGGGATCCTAATAGTGACAGCACAAACTGAACCTCAATAAACATGGTGGATGTACAACAGGTGGACGAGGAGGGGAGGAGATCTAGGCCCATTTTTAGATCTGCTGTGCAGTTAATGTGATGAGTGTTTAGGGAATAAGAGGAGAAGTTTATGCCACTTATCTTCCTGGAATTCCAGTAAGTTTTGAATTCCAAAACACATAGTGCTCCAAGGATTTCGATTAATGAAGTATGGCCCTGTGCCCCTTTCCTTCATAGGTGATGAAGAAACCAAGCCTGAGAAATAAATTATGCTAAACAGATTGGCACCGGACTTGGCTCTCCATTGTGTGGCAAGTGGTAAGCCAGCATGTAAATCACAACAGGAACTGCAAGGTTCAATTCAATATTTAGAAAATGTAACTAGTGGCAACAGGGAAGTGGGATTGCTGGGTGGCGTTTGGGTGTAAGGTCAGAACGAAAGGCCCTTGTTGTTTTCCCTGCGTGGGTTGCCTCTGTGACTCTTTTCATGGCCTTGCATCCAACCCTTGTCCCACCACGGTGTTTTCCAGCCCCAGCCTCCAACTGCAGCTGCTTTCACTGAGGTCGCCAACTTGACACACTTGACCTTCATATTGCTCAACCCAGCAGTCAGCTCGCAAGCCTTTCTTGGCTAGATTATTCAGCTGCATTTGGGGTCACTGGACACCCCTTTGTCCTTTAAACTCCCCAGGCCTTTGGCATTTTTGATCGCATCCTTCTTCCCCACTTTACCTCTCTGGCTTTTCTTGCCCTGGCTCTGTCCTGGCCTCTTCCGCAGCCCCTGGGCCGTCCGGACTGGGTCCTGAGGCCCCAGACTCCGCCTGTGCGCTCCGTAGTCCTTCCTGGGCTCTCACGTCCCGCTCCATGCTGTGTGTCTCCTGGGTTTCTGCTTAGTCCAGGATTTCTCCCAGAGCTTCAGATTCAAACCCCACATTCCTGCCAGGCCCTGGGCTAACCCTGGAGTTCAGTTTTGGGAGTTGAAAATAATTTCTCAGCAAATCGAAGCAATTTATAAGCCATAAGTGTGGTGCCTCCATTTTTTTTTTTACTTATTTTACTATTGCCACTGACGAAGTGTCAGTCACTCATATGCTACATGTGATTGCCAGAAATTCAATAACTATGTATTGGAGAAGTTTTGTGGGCCAATCATTGTCCTGGACGAGGTACTTATAAGCTGACAAGGTCAGGGGCAGAGATAATAAGGCAAATTCACAAACACCTATCATAAAGGCAGAGAATGGGACACAGTGAGGGGGACAGCAGTCTCATCCACAGGGCTGGGCGATGCTTGTGTTTCCTTTCCCTCTCCTTTATCTTTTCCCAAAGGAGGAAGCTTTTGTTGCTGTTGTTAAGATAGAGAGAATCGACTTCTTGTTTTTGAATTCTTCTGCCCAAAGCTTTTTGTGCCTTTTTGTGGTCCGCGGTTGTCTTCTGAAAACAGTCAATGCTGTAGCTGTTCTAGATGCAAAACAAGTATAGATTCTTAGATGGATTTTTATATTAATGATTGTAGTCACAGTGCAGCTGGTGTGCCAGGGAAGTCTGCATGCATTAGTATGGCGGGACCCCGCGATCCTCAGGGAGTCAAAGGAGCCCTGTTCTTCTTGCCCCTTCCTGGGTTTCATGGATTCAATGCAAAGCAGTCAGGATGAAACGAACCTGGTAAGAGTAGCCCGCCAAGAAACCGGTTTGCCCAGGAGTGTGTCCAGAATGGGGGTCGGGGGGAGGAGACCTGAGGGCATCCTGGTCTCCAGGCGGCTCTGGCCCAGTGTCCAGTGGAGGGCAGTGGTGTGCAGGCAGAGACCTGTCCCTGGAGGCGGGTGTCGGCCTCTCCGGAAGGAAGTGGTCCCCTACTGAGCACATACCCTGCCTTAGCTTGGGACGGTGTTGGGCTTGGTTACCTTTTGCTCCGTCTCTTTCTTTTCGGACAGAGCCTCTGCTCTTATTGGACTTCCAGGAACTTCCCAACCCGTTTAGTTCACTGCTTTTTACTGAGCACCTCTTGGCATCAGTGACGTTACCAGGTGCGCTATAGTGAAAACAAAGCTGTGTATGGGAAGCTCGAGAAGCTCGCATGCTAATGGGCACAGAGGAGGGCGCAGGGGTAAGGCAAGTTTACAAATAATCGACTGAAGGCAGGGACAGGCATTGATGCAGCACCTAACACAACAGGACACAGTGCACGGGGACTCAAGCAAGTCTGAACCTTCCCCGCCTTCCCAGGTGTTAGGGGGTGGGGGGGTGCCTGGATGAAAGGTCACCAGCAGTCTCTGTGCCCAGAGCTGACCCCCACACTCGGCTCTCCCAGATTCTGTGATCAGAAGCCCTGGAGTCGCCTAGGGACACTAAGGATAAGGAATGCCTTCAGGCTGGCGGTGGGGCAGGGAAGGGAGGGAGGGGCAAGAGTGGAGACAGAAGTCACCCTAAGAAGCAAAGTCCCTTCCCAGAGCCATGCTGAAGAGGCTCATGTTAGCATCCTCATCCCGCGCCGGCCCCCTGCACCTACGAAAGCATCGCCCAGGTGCATCTCAGAGCTGTCTCTCGCCGTCCCAGTTACACCCCACTCCAGGGATGCTGACATTTCCATACTTTGAGCAGGTAATGATCCCTTTAAGGTGAAGCCGACTGAAGCTGAATGTACACACCTCAAAAAACAACACGGAGTGGGGGGAAGCCTTGTTTCTTCCAAGGGTGTTGAGAGAGAACAAGTGCCCACTGAGCCTTGGGAACGGGAAAGGCCACCCGCAGTGCTGCCTCGTCTGGGGAAAGGTGGGTCAGGCCAGGTCGCGGGCTGCCCAGCCCCGGTGCTTGAGGCTCAGGCCAAAGGCCAGGACACTGAGATTCCAGAAGCTCCTGGCTTGTCAGTTTCATCTGAAACTGATTAAAATGAAATGCAAACCCAAATAGCTGGGAAGAAAAGGTCAGGATTTTACCCCCACCTGCTCCCCTCCTTCCTCCTCAGCACACTGCGCTCTGGCCCGGCTCCCATAGCCGCTCAGGTTTCCCACATGCCCATGAAGCCCAGAGAATGGCCCCATTGTGGACGAGACAAACCAAAATAGCAGCATCTTCTGTTCTCTGCCTCAGGGACATTCACTCCAAACCCCTAAGTCCCAGATGTGGACGACAATGGCCGTTGTTGTTGCAAATTAGCGATCCTGGAACAGATGAGAGGCAGGTAGTCGGAAAGCAGCCAGTGTGATGGGTTGGGCTGCTGGGAGAGAACAATTAGGCAGTCACTTCATTAACCCAATTAGCCCTCCCTGGCAGGAATTGTGGGGAAGGTGGGGAGAGCTGACAGCCAACTGGTGGGGGTGGGTGGGGGCCAGGAGGTGGGGAAGGGAGGGTCGCGGCTGGGACCAAAGCACCAGGACCAAAACGTCAGCTATTTCTAGGCTGCCCAATGCTATTTTTACCATTTTTTAAATGCTCTGGATTTTTTTTTTTTTTTTTGGAAACTATGCCCTGGAGCATTTGGATGAATGGTGTTGCGTTAATTAATAAATCAGATGACATCTCTACTCAGCAGCAGGCTCTGCCGTGGAAACTCTCTGGGTGGCCTGAGAAATGGTGACTGTGGGCTCCTGATTGATCACAACCGTCATGTCCTCAGTCATTCACTCCAACATG